GCCACTGCGGCTGGCCTGGCTGAGGACCAGGGGCAGGACAGACCCCTCCCCAGCCCGGATCCCTTCCTGCCCTCTCCTTTCATTGCCAGGACATGCCCATTTCCTGGCTCCAGCTCCCAGCTCTCCCAGGCCCCAGAGGAGGCTGTGAATGCTCAGGGTGTCAGCCGAGCAACTTCTCCCTGTGAGGGTCACATTCCCTTTCTGGGACAGTAAGGCCGGACTTTCCAAGAGATCACCCAAGGCAGGACTTGATTCTAGAATATATGCCATGTGCCCCCAGACTGGCTCATTAGTACAGACCATGAAGAATCAGAGGGTCTCAGGGGGCAGTCAGGAGGTAACCTTGAACGTGAGGGACAAAGAGCTCTGGGCTCATGGATGCATGCCCTGAGCCAGAGAGGACCAACGGGCCACGGCCGTCCTCCTCAGATGCCATTTCAGATGAATTTCTGGGTCAGGACAACCTGTCTTCTGCTGCCCCTAATTCAGATGGAGTCATGCAGGGAAACCTGGCCCCAGTGCCTCTGCCTGTGTGAACCTCCAAAGTGCTGCCTGCTGGGGGGCCTTTGCTCCAAGCCAAAGGGCAGTGGCCTGTGGGGAATGGAATCATCTGGACCTCTCACTGAGTCACAGACGACCTCGTCAGAGCGTGCCCTCCTTAGACCGGGGAGGTCTTTCTCCTCTTCACTGGAGTTTACATGGCGTAAGAAAAGCATGTACAGTGAGAAAACCTGGAAAAGCCACAAAAAGTATAAAGATGCAGATGGGAACCTGGCTTCTCCTTTCTACAGGAGAGGAGGGCCACTGCTGATGTTGCCACATATTTTCTTATAGGTCTTTCTCCTTCCTTTTTTTGGCAGAGTTGAGGTCACATATAATACAGGATTTTTGCCTTCAGCTATTTCTAAATTAAACTTGTTTTCTTAAGCATTTTCTCCTAACAGCAAAATTTCATGTGCTCTTAACTAGAGTGCAGCCCCCCCACCGGGTGGAAGGGGTTTCAGGGGGATCTGGGGCTTCGCTTGTTCTTGTGCATTGCTGAATCCAGGGCCCAGAGCAGCGCACAGCGCATGGGAGGCATTTGTGAACATTTGTTGACTAAATATATGACGACATATGTGAATATTTGTTGACTGAATGTATGACGGCAGGGCCGACTAATGTCGCACCACGCTGCTCTGAATTTAGGGGCCTCTAACTTGCTGCTGTTCTTCATAACGCTCAGGTGAGCATCTCTGCGGCTACGTCAGGGTCCGATGAAGTATGCACCTCACTGTTCCAAACTCTGCCAAGCAGAACTGGGGGCCGGAGCTCAGGTCTTGGTGCTGCCACACACTCTGACCCTGGACAGTTGTTTTTCCTTCTTCGGGCCTTGGTTTCCCCTCTGTGCGATGGGTGAGTTTGCACGGAGCATCCTCAGGTCCCTCATAGCTCCGTGAACCTAACCCGCAGCCACGGGAACAGAGGACAGTGGAGCCAGGCCCCAGGCCCCCCACCCGGCGGTGCTTCCCTGTGAAGGAATGAACTGTGTCCCCCCAATTCATATCCTGAAGTCTTAGCCCCCAGCACTCAGAATGTGGCTGTCTTTGGAGATGGAGTACTTACAGAAGGAGTCAAAATAAAATGAGGCCACTAGGGCAGGCCCAGATCCCATCTGACTGCTGTCCTTATGAGAAGGGGAAACCGGACACATGCACACAGAGGGACAACCACGTGAGGACACGGGGGGACCACCTGCAAGGTAAGGAGGCCTCAGGAGCGGCCGGCCTGCCCGCGCTTTGACGGCGGACTTCCAGCCTGCAGAGGCGCAGGAAGGTAAATGTCTGTTGTTTGAGCCACCCTGTCCCTGGCAGACTAATACAACCCCTGGCCTCAGGGCTGGAGGATTCCAACAGCCACCCAGGGAGGACATCTAGGCTCAGAGAGGGTATGTCCTGCTCAAGGACCCAGTGCCTGTCAGTGGCAGAGCTGGCACTGGAGCCCCTGACAGCTGACGCACATTCCTCCACCCCACTGCTGTGACCACATAGGCTGTGATGTTATGAAGCCACCACCATGCTGACATCATCCACTGGGCCCCACTGTACATAGGCTGGCACTGTGCACGGAGCTAAGGCACGCCCTCCATGCAGTGGGTAAACTGAGGCATGCGAACCCTACTGCTGGTGTGCTGGATTCGGATCCAACCCTGTGTGACACAGAAAGCCACTTCCTACAATTTCCCTGGCCACCCAAAGTCAGTAAGTGACGTAACAAGCCATCAGCTGCTCCTGTGCCATCTCAAAGCCGCCCATCTGTGCTGCCATACTGGAAGAGATGGTGCCTGCAGCCCATGGCACCAAAGCGAGGTGGGCCCCTCACCTGGGGGCATCATCCAGGCTGCCTTGGGCTTTGGCCATCAGGCCCATGTGAGCAGCTAGAGATGGGACCCAGTGATGCCCGGCCACGCCTGTGGCGCTGAGCTTCAGCCTGGTGCCAGCCTTCTGTGTGGAGGGCTGTCAGGTGACCTTGCCCTTGCTGACAATGGAAGCCCGACCTGCCACATGCGCACAGTGACCCGACATTATGGCCAAGGGCAGGCACAAGGGACCACTGCTCCCCCCACAACAGGTGTGGGTGAAATAATGGGTTGGGCACAGGTCTGGGGCATGAGCCGCAGGTAGACAAGAGACCATGTCCACTGCCAGTTCCAAAGCGCTGGAGTACCTCAGGAAGACCGAGGTAAGCCTGACCGCCTAGCATGACCATCACAGGCTACTGAGGACTCACTATGCATGTGACTTCTCACTTGACTCCCATCCTCTCCAGACAATACTGCTTCTACATGTCAGGAGGCAAGCCCAGGAAGGTGCCATGATTTACCCCAAACCACCACTGTCCACTACCAGGCAGACACTACGGGTCAAACCTCAGTCCCCTTGCTCTTTTGAACCATGATCCCCCACTCTCCCTGGGGCCCACATACCTCTTTTCTCAAGACAACCAGATACAGGGAGGGGAGAAAATGCCAGCCCTCTGGCCAGGACCCTCCCTGGTTATAGGAGACACCAGGGGTATCAATTACGGTCACAGAAAGCCTAAAATTACCCTGTACACACCCTGCCATCACCCCCACCTGCCCTCAGAGAAATGTCTCTGGAGGTTCTGCCAAGCGTCAGGGTGCCCTGCTCTCCAGCCACCCCCAGATAACAGGTTGGCCATTTCAAAAATCTTCCAGAGAATCCTGCCTCCCACCGCCTGCCATTTGCTCTCAGCCACCCTCTCAACGCCCACTGCCAGTGTGGTTCCTCCTTCCCTGGCTGGGCAGTGGAGGGGACTGACTCCCCGGAAGCTTAGCTTTCCCTCAAGCCCAGGGCACACAGTAAGCACCCACTCCCCTCCCGGGCTGAGCACCCCGGGGAAGCAGCTGTCCCCACTGATCTCTGCACCGTGGCCACAGGCCACACTGCGGTCTGTGGCCAGACAGGCTCAGGGGAAAGAGCACAGAAGTCAGGGTCGAATCCCCGCCCAGCTGCGTGAGTCTAGCAAGTGATCCGAGCCTGGTGAGCCTCGGTTGCACCCTGAAAAATGGGGGGAGGCCGCTCGCTGCCAGGGAATGTATTGGACGGGCCCTGCGCCCTGTGCCGGCCGCCAGAACACTCTCGAAACGGGGCTTCTCAGGTTATGCTCCAAATTCTCGTCCCCTGGGTCTCAGTTTCCCCGGGCGCACTAGGCGCGGCTGGCTTGTGGCGCTGTGGGATTTTCCAGCGCCACCCAGAGGCGGTCAGATCCGGTGGGTGCGGCAGGAGAGGCCCCGGTGGGGATGCGCAGGGCTGAGGGGCCGCGGAGGACGAGCGGGGACACGGGTGGGTAGCACACACTTGCGGGCTCCGCGCCCCCAAATCTGCCGCGGGCGAGCCCTGGACGCCTGGGGTTGCCTGACGCGCCCGACTCAGGCGCTGCGGGAGCCGCGGGAGGGCAACGCCCCCTGCAGCAGAGCCCCCGGTGTCATCACACCGCCTGCCGCGGCCGCGCGCCCCTCGCCCGGACTCCTCGCCTAGGGCAGCCAGAGACCCCAGACCCCACTCGGACGCAATGGAGTGGCGCCTTCCAGACGGCCCAGCGCATCCTCCCCCAGCCCGTGCTGCAGAGCTGCACGCGTCCCAGCGCTGGGCCGGGAGGCCGCGCGCCGGGCCCTCGGGACGCCAAGACCCTGGAGCAGAAGTTGGGCGGAGCCGCCGGGCGATTTTCCCCTATGCTGCAGGTGCAGCCCCAGAGAGCCCCCAGCCCTTGTGCGCCGCCAACTCGCCCCGTCCCCACACTCACCTGCACTCATCGCAGCGGCAGCGCGACGGCGGCATCCGACGCCACGGCAGCCCACCGACGCCGACTGCAGGTGCCGCGCCCGCCGCCAGCGGGTCCGCGGCCCCCACGCTCCGCCGGCGCCCGCCCGCAGCGCCGCAGCCCAGCGGCTCACGGCCAAACCCCGCCCCGCCGCCCCGCCCCCGAGGCCCGCCCCGCCCCCTTCGCGCAGCGGACGGGGCGCACCCTGGGTAGTGTAGGCACCGCGCCCCCGCCGCTCGGCCTTCGCGCCCAACCGCCTCACGGAAGGACTACAAGTCCCAGCAGGCCGCGCGGCCTACGCACGCTCACGCGGGGGACACCGCTGCGGCCTTTCGCCGCTGCTCCAGGGTCTCGGCTGAGCTGTCATCGCTGCCTGGCTGCCGGTGACCAAGGGAAAAGCGAACTTGTTGCAGCTCCCGTTGAGTCGTACGGCTGCAGGGGGACTTGAAGATATTCTGGGCCAACCCCTGCCTTTCCCAGTTTGCAGAGAGGGAAACATGAGGCGAGGCGCTACAGGATCGCCCGCCTCCCCTGCCGGGACTCCAGGTGCACCCGCGCTTTACGGACCC